GCAAGGATTCAGAAAGTAATTACACGGTTTGTAGAACATCCATATAATTTTTTACCTAATTATGTGCAAATTTGCTGTTATCAGCATGTTCATCAGAAGAAATAAATGCAACTTGAATTTCAAATTACTTATTTTAAAATTTTGAGCAGCTTTAAGGTTGAAATTATTGGCCAAAATTGGGTTTTGGAAATGCAGTTATCTATAGATTTCAATTATCCATGCTACCCTTTTCTCCATTACCCCCTAGGAAACTGAAAGTTGGATATACTAACTTGTCCTAATATCATCAGTCCAGAAGCTTTTACAGACAAGTTTTTGCTTATCTATTACTTGTGAATTTGAAAAAAAGTGAAATTCTAGCTGAAATTCTGGCTTCAGTACTTGGCAGTGTTATGTTTCCTTTCCCTCTCTCTTCTCTCTAAACTTTTAATATCCTCATACTTACCATTTTCAAGTCTCTTCTTAAGGAGAAATAAAACATCACTGTCACCTCATCTCCCTTCAAATAACAGTAGAAGCAAAGCGTAAAATTTAATTTAAATATATTAACTCTTTTATACTATTTAAGTACTTCACCTAGTGTATTTGTATTTTATTTTAGTGTTTATAAAATTTTGTGATCTATATATTCACATTCAATTTTGGAATCTTGTTCTTTGATATCATGAAAAATTCCAATTTGATCAGTCTGGGCAAATCAGAAAAAAGGATGCTCAATAGATATTCACAAATGACAAGTTTGTTTCTACACATCATCATTACAAGTTTATTATAGGGGCTTCCCAGGTGGTTCAGTGGTAAAGAATCAGCCTGCCAATACAGCACATGCAGGTTCAATCCCGGGGTCAGGAAGAGCCCATGGAGAAGGGAATGGCAACCCACTCCAGCATTCTTGCCTGGGAAATCCCATGGACAGAGGAGCCAGGCAGGCTAAAGTTCAGGGGGCCACAAAGAGTCAGACATGACTCAGCGACTAAACAGCAGCAACAAATACTGGTAGTAGAAAACGTTTTAGAAATCCTATGAAGTTCATATTTTATTTGACACCTAATGGACCTCCATCATCTGTAACTGTTTTTCGGTTTTCACTCTTTTATTCACTATCCCATTTCTTATACATCAGGATAAAAACCATGGATTTATATTTTTAAGTTGCAAAAGCTGACAAGAACAGCTGCAATATTATATGTGACTTCCTTTGCTTCGGTGATACACGCAGGTGGTTCAGCATCAGGGGAATGATAAACAATTAAACCAGCGCAGTTATACAAGTGTACAGACAACGGTGACTTGCCAGTGTTCAATGAAAGGGTACAGATCTGCCTTAGGGCCATTTCAAATAAGACATCGAGAAATGGAATCTAAGCCAACAGGGGAGATAGATATTTACTCTGTCAGAAATCAGCAGAATGTCGCCTTGATTACTCTAGCAAGGTTATTTCAGTAACCAAAGGCATTCTTAATAAAGGCTCAAGCCTAACTCTATGGGGTGGGTTTATATAAAATTTAGAAATACACCAAATTATTAATATCTCCAATTTCACAAACGTTAATTGAGCAGCTAAAAGGTATCAGTTGCTACAGATGTTCAGTCACTAAGTCATGTCTGACTCTGCAAGCCCATCGACTGCAGCACATCAGGCTTCCCTGATGAGAATGAGAGCTTGCTCAAAGTTATGTCCATTACATCAGTGATGTAATCACCAACTATCTTGTCTTCTGTCACTCCCTTCTTCTCCTGCTCTCAATCTTTCCCATCATCAGGGTCTTTTCCCATGTGTCAGAGATCATACCAATTTACTAAAGATAGAGGATGAACAATCCCTCAACCCTGAGTGCCTCTGAGGATTGGTCTCAATCTCCTGAAAGTGAAAGTTGCTCAGTTGGGTCCGACTCTTTGCGACCCCATGGACTATAGTCCATGGAATTCTCTAGGCCAGAATACTGGAGTGGGTAGCCTTTCCCTTCTCCAGGGGATCTTCTCAATCTCCTAGGAGCCTTAAAATAATATCAATGCCCCAGGTTCGCCCTCAGAGTTTCTGAGTCCGTGTGACTGTGACAGCACCAGGCACCTGTATTTTGTTAAAGCTCCCCAGGTGACTTAACATTCAGCCCCAGTTGATACACTCAGGTCCTACAATCTCACATTGCTCAGTCATATCTAACTCTTAGCGACCTCATGGACTGTAGCCAGCCAGCCTCCTCTGTCCATGGGGATTCTCCAGGTAAGAATACTGGAGTGGGTTGCCATTCCCTTCCCCAGGGGACCTTCTCAACCGAGGGATCAAACCAGGTCTCCTGCATTGCAGGCAGATTTTTTTTTTTTTTTAACCATCTGAGTCACCAGGGAAGCCCCCTTAGAGAAAGTACAGAGATACAACAGCAATGCAGTAGTAGGACAAATAAATGCTGTAGCATCTCAAGTACTCCACACTTGAGAAGTCTGGAGTGGCGGGCTTCACAGAGAGACAACAATGGACAGTAAGGGCTCCATAAAGGAAGTGAAGCGGTCACTTCAGAATCGCAGTAGCCACGGCTGGCTAACGTCTCTTGGCAAGTACTATGTGTCAGGTGCTCTGGATGGCACCGCCAACAATCCCTGAAAGCAGGTATTATCATACCCACACTGCCAGTGAGGAAACTAAGGCTCAGGAAGAACCAGTGACGAGCTGAAAATAACCACAAAACTTGTAAGTGGCAGGGTTAGGATTTGAACCAAGATGCCTTGCCTCTAACTCAACATAATATCTGGGGAAAAATAAGTAATGAATTTAGGTGATTTTTAAATTTTAGTATTTCAAAAAAGTAGGTGTCAAGTAGGGCTGACTTTCAAATAGCTGTCATGGTTAAGATACTTGAAGACATAGTCAAGTTTTAACATTTCTTTGTCCAATGCCATTTTAATATTTTTTTTTCTGGAGTTCTCAAAGCATTGTGAATATTTTATTTTCTTTCCAGTTGACCTGCTGCTGCTGCTAAGTCACTTCAGTCATGTTCGACTCTGTGCGACCCCACAGACTGCAGCCCACCAGTCTCCCCAATCCCTGCGATTCTCCAGGCAAGAACACTGGAGTGGGTTGCCGTTTCCTTCTCCATCAAGTTGACCTAGTAGAGATCCAAAGACAGCAATGCCTTATAAAACATTTTCTTTTTTGAGTTGGATACAAAGTGAGTGCTGAGGAAATTTGATTTGAGAGTTACACTGTCCTGCATGCAACATCCTAAGTGGCGCTAGTGGTAAAGAACTTGCCTGCCAATGAAGGAGATGCAAGAGACTTGGGTTACATCCCTGGGTCGGGAAGATCCCCTGGAGAAGGAAATGGCAACTCGCTGCAGTATTCTTGCCTGGAGAATCCCATGGACAGAGGAGCCTGGTGGGCTACAGTCCATAGCGTCGCAGAGTTGGACACGACTAAAGTGACTTAGCACTCATACAGGCATGCGGCATATCTCCATAACATCAGGGCCACCAGTGACTCTGTTGTCCCCACTTAGCTGTGCAATTTAAGTACATAAGATTATGACCTAAGCCATAAGTAGCAGATTTAGGCAGGAGTTAACTAATTAGTCGTTTCAGCCTACATGTTCTAACAGATTGCCCTTACCAACACAAACATTATCTGTAAACGGGCCCAGGTTCACAATTCCTGAAAGTGAAAGTCGCTCAGTCGTGTCCCACTCTTTGCAACCCCATGGACTGTGGCCTGCTAGGCTCCTCTGTACATGGAATTCTCCAGGCCAGAATCCTGGAGTGGGTAGCCTTTCCTTTCTCCAGGCCAGAATCCTGGAGTGGGTAGCCTTTCCTTTCTCCAGGCCAGAATCCTGGAGTGGGTAGCCTTTCCCTTCTCCAGGGGATCTTCCCAACCCAGGAATCGAACCCACGTCTCCCGCACTGTAGGTGGATTCTTTACCATCTGAGCCACCAGGGAAGCCCAGGAATACTGGAGTGGGCAGCCTATCCCTTCTCTTTAAAATGACCTCTGTTATTACAAAGTATAAGAAACAGGCTGTACTGTATTAAATATCTTTATATCTGTGATGCAAGTCAGCCTTATAAGACTTCCAAAGAAAATGTTAACAACAAATCTTATCAAATGAAGCAAGAACATAACAGACTAGAAATTATACTTTTATTCAATAAGGGTAATTACAAATTATTTCTCTATTAATTTGAGTTAAACATTCAAATAAACACTCACATCCTAAAATCATATTACCCAGATGCAGCATCCCATTTTTTAAGAGTTTAAGTATTATGGTTTTAACTCTTGATGTTTTAACTCTGCCTGAATATTCTTTTCTCCTCCCTTCACTGTGTTTTTCTGAATCTTCCAACTGAATGTGTACCCTCACACTTGTGCAAAATATATCAGATCTTTGTTTCTTTCTTGGGACCTTTACATCCTATGAACTACCAAGGATGCCAAGCCTATGGTAGGACCTTATCAAATTTTTTGGAATGGACACTGAATGAGTAGAGTTGGAATCTTCCAGAGATTTGACCACTGCTTTACCAGGAGCCTCTCCTGCGAACACTGACTGAGTCCTGGGCTAATTCAACACTCACATCCATCAGAGAGGCACAGTGGACTGTTACACACGCACTGCCATTGGAGGCAAGAGGCCAGGATTCCCCTTTCTTCTCCATTGCCATGCAGCCCCTGGAGAGTTATCCAGCTCCCCTGACTTTGGTCATCTCTACTATTTATGGTGGGACTACAAATGCCTTGTTTGCCAAGAAGCACAAAGTCAATCCATATGATTTTATAAGGTCTTTTCTAGCTCCAAACTTCGACTGACTCAAGTTTTTCTTAGTCCCATACAAACAACACAGTTTGGGCAAAACACAGAATATCATTTGAAAGTTCTGTGAAAAGATAAATAAGAATGGGCTAACAGTACTCATCTGATTTAAGTGTATTAAATATATTGCATTGCAAATTCTTACTTGTTACTATTAGCACTTGTATCTGCTTATGAAGAACCGATCTGTTTCTTACCTTTTGACTTCCTGTCATGATATGATCTGCCTCGATGATGAGGGGTATCCAAATACAGATTCTCAAGATCTTCTTGCCATGATTCTGGATTGAAGTGCTTGAGCAGCTCTTCCACAGTATCAAATTCTGCAATCGTTTTGTCCAGAGCATCCGCAGTGAGAGTGGGGTCCGTTACTGATGGAGAGTGATAGGATACCCCCTAAGAGTGACATACAGCTCAGTGTACTCAGAAAAAGTGCATTGCTATGAAATACAAGTCACACAACCTTATGGAAGGAACACAGACTTCCAATTATAAGACATCACGTATATAAATACCATGCTAAGCCCCTATGCCATAGTCTTGCCATATTCCTAAATAATTACTTGGTAAATCATAGTCATTTGCTTTATTGCAAATCAAAAACAGGAAGATCATAAAACACCCAGCTCATCTGAACTGTAATTATTAAAAATGATACCAGATAAATGGAAATATCAAAATAAGTCATTAAATTTCTTGGTTCAAAGTCCCAAATCATCATATACATATCAACAAATGATGGTAATAGGTAAATTATGAACTCCTTTTATCTTCCATGCAAACCGTGAGTAATCCATTTCATCTCCTGTGCTTAGCTTCATGCCCCCTCTTCATAGTTCACAGAGCACAATAGATGTTCTCTGAGCAGTGTTGAAATTTACTCTGGAAACATCTTGATAAAATTTGGTATTTTAAGCAACTCATTGTCAACAAGAATAATAAGCCATGAAACTGGTGACCTTGACTTAAGACTGGAAGATTCACTTGGGTGTGTATGTGTGTGTATAGTGTGTGTGTGCATTTTAACTGCTATAGTTGCTAGGGATCCCTGTTGCCATTAAAACATTCTCAGGAATACTCTTTAAGTAGGATAACATCATAGAAAGTCTGGAAAGGATTATGCATTTTGCCATGGAATATATTCCCATATAAATTTCTAAGCACTTACTTCACTAACCCTTGTACAAACTAGAGGTAAATGAGCCATGAGTCAGACATCTCTGTAAAAATTCATGACCCATTAACAAGGGAATGGAAAACACATAGTCTCCAATGTTTTCTAAATGTCTTTAAAGAAATTGCTAAACAAATAATATCCTCCATGGGCAAGTGCCTCATATCTCTATAGGAAAATAAAAATTAATGAAAACTTAGATTTCTGAAACTTAGCTGCATTCCTAATGAGAAATAATATGCATGTGCATTATAGAGTCCCAGACAGCAAGGCCCACAATTATTTGCAGACTTTCAGGTGAATGCTTTTACTTTTTAACAAATCAAGAGCAAAAGACACTTACTCTTGGGGGAACTATCTGCTTTTAGCAAAATTAAGAGGTTTTCAGTTTAGTTCATTCACTCAGTCATGTCCGACTCTTTGCAACCCCATGGACTGGAGCATGCCAGGCTTCCCTGTCCATCACCAGCTCTGGGATCTTACTCAAACTCATGTCCATTGAGTTGGTGATGCCATCCAACCATTTCATCCTCTGTCGTCCCCATCACATCCCACCTTCAATCTTTCCCAGAATCGGGGTCTTTTCCAATCAGTCAGTTCTTCGCATCAGGTGGCCAAACTATTGGAATTTCAGCTTCAGCATCAGTCCTTCGAATGACTATTCAGGACTATTTTAGGATGGACTGGTTGGATCTCCTTGCAGTCCAAGAGACTCTAAAGAGTCTTCTCCAACATCACAGTTCAAAAAAATCAATTCTTCAGCACTGATCTTTCTTTATAGCCTAACTCTCACATCCATACATGACTACTGGAAAAACAATAGCTTTGACTAGATGGACATTTGTTGACAAAGTAATGTCTCTGCTTTTTAATATGCTGTCTAGATTTGTCATAGCTTTTCTTCCAAGGAGCAAGTGTCTTTTAATTTCAAGGCTGCAGTCACCATGTGCAGTGATTTTGGAACCCCCCAAAACAAAATCTGTCACTGTTTCCATTGTTTACCCATCTATTTGCCATGAATGGGACAGGATGCCATGATCTTAGTTTTCTGAATGATGAGCTTTAAGCCAACTTTTTCACTCTCCTCTTTCACTTTCATCAAGAGGCTCTTTAGTTCTTCTTTGTTTTCTGCCATAAGGGTGGTGTCATCTGCATATCTGAGGTTATTGATACTTCTCCCTGCAATCTTGATTCCAGTTTGTGCTTCATCCAGCACAGCATTTCTCATGATGTATTCTACATCTAAGTTAAATAAGCAGGGTGACAATATACAGCCTTGACGTACTCCTTTCCCAATTTGAAACCAGGCTGTTGTTCCATGTCCAGTTCTAACTGTTGCTTCCTGACCTGCACACAGATTTCTCAGGAGGCAGATAAGGTGGTCTAGTATTCCCATCTCTTTAAGAATTTTCCACAGTTTATTGTGATCCACACAGTCAAAGGCTTTAGCATAGTCAATAAAGCAGAAGTAGATGTTGTTTTGAAACTCTCTTGCTTTTTCGATGATCCAGAGGATGTTGGCAATTTGATCTCTGGTTCCTCTGCCTTTTCTAAATTCATCTTGAACATATGTAAGTTCTCAGTTTATGTATTGCTGAAGCCTGGCTTGGAGAATTTTGAGCATTACTTTGCTAGCATGTGAGATGAGCGCAATTGTGTGGTAGTTTGAGCATTCTTTGGCATTGCCTTTCTTTGGGATTGGAATGAAAACTGACATTTCCCAGTCCTGTGACCACTGCTGAGTTTTCCAAATTTGCTGGCATATTGAGTGCAGCACTTTCACAGCATCATCTTTCAGGATTTGAAATAGCTCAACTTAAATTCCACACCTCCACTAGCTCTTTTCGTAGTGATGCTTTCTAAGGCCCACTTGACTTCACATTCCAGGATGTCTGGTTCTAGGTGAGGGATCATACCATCAAGATTATCTGGGTCATGAAGATCTTCTTTGTAACTTCTGTGTAATCTTGCCACCTCTTCTTAATATCTTCTGATTCTGTTAGGTTCACACTATTTCTGGTCCTTTATTGTGCCCATCATTAAATGAAATATTCCCTTGGTATCTCTAATTTTCTTGAAGAGATCTCCAGTCTTTCCCATTCTATTGTTTTCCTCTATTTCTTTGCATTGTTCACTGAAGAAGGCTTTCTTATCTCTCCTTGCTCTTCTTTGGAGCTCTGCATTCAGGTGGGTATATCTTTCCTTTTCTCCTTTGCCTTTAGCTTCTCTTCCTTTCTCAGCTATTTGTAAGGACTCCTCAGGCAACCATGTTGCCTTCTTGCATTTCTTTTTCTTGGGGATGGTCTTGATCCCTGCCGCCTGTACAATGTCACAAACCTCTGCCCATAGTTCTTTAGACAGTCTGTCTATCAGGTCTAATCCCTTGAATCTGTTTGTCACTTCCACTTTATAATCATAAGGGATTTGATTTAGGCCATACCTGGATGGCCTAGTGGTTTTCCCTACTTTCTTCAATTTAAGTCTGAGTTTGGCAATAAGGAGTTCATGATCTGAGCCACCGTCAGCTCTTGGTCATGTTTTTGCTGACTCTATAGAGCTTCTCCATCTCTGGCTGCAAAGAATATAATCAATCTGATTTCAATATTGACCATCTGGTAATGTCCATGTGTAGAGTCTTCTCTTGTGTTGTTGGAAAGTGTTTGATATTACCAGTGAGTTCTCTTGGCAAAACTATTAGCCTTTGCCCTGCTTCATTCTGTTCTCCAAGGCTAAATTTGTCTGTTACTTCAGGTTTCTCTTGACTACCTACATTTGCATCCCAGTCCCCTATAATGAAAAGGACATCTATTTTTGGGTGTTAGTTCTAGAAGATCTTGTAGGTCTTCATAGAACCATTCAATGTCAGTTTTTTCAGCATTACTGGTTGGGGCACAGACTTGGATTACTGTGATATTGAATGGTTTACTTTGGAAACCAACAGAGGTCATTCTGTCATTTTTGAGATTGCATCCAAGCAGTGCATTTCAGACTCTTTTGTTGACTATGAGGGCTACTCCATTTCTTCTAAGGGATTCTTGCCCATAGTAGTAGATATAAAGGTCATCTGAGTTAAATTCATCCATTCCAGTCCATTCCAGTCCAGTTCACTGCTTCCTAAATGTTGATGTTCACTCTTGCCATCACCTGCTTGACTACTTCCAGTTTACCTTGATTCATGGACCTAACATGCCAGGTTGCTATGCAATATTGTCCTATGCAATATTCCTATGCAATATTGTTAAGAGTTTGTATAAGAGCATAAACACCTACTATTGGTATAATTTATTGTAATTCAAATACACCCTGTATCGAAAGGGAGTAAGTGACAGATGGGGTTTGGAGTGTAAAGTGTGAGACATGAGATAGATTGGTGAAGGTACCAGCCCAGCTCTTTAATCTAGGAGTGTGTTTGTGTTTGTGTGTGTATGGCTTATAGAAGCTGAACCCTGATTAAGGCACATTACTTCTGTCTTTCACAACCCTCTTGGTACACTGTGATTAAGGCAGCTAAATTTATGATTCAGCAACACAAGTCCAAATTCCCACTCAACTTTGTATTGTCTGGATCTACAGTCTACTTGGCTCTTACTGACCACACGATTTACAATTAGCTTTGTATCACAATAATGTGGTCTGAGATCCACAAAATCAAAATTAACTGGCCAAAGTTAGGTGCATGATACCATAAGAAAGCTTTGAGATTACATTTTTCCCTCTTTTTTGAGACAAAAGCAGGTACATCAATCAAGCCATTCAACTGCAAGCAAAGCTACCTAAATGATTCTGGGGAACTCCTGGCAAGGAGCTTCCTGGGCTTACCTTAATAGTACCTAAGGTATAGTGTGTATTCAGACATCTCTCCAAGAGAAAGCTGTGGAGGTGCTCTTAGTCCTTGAAGATGAGGGGGGAATCTAAGCCCTTCTAATGTTAGTTTGAAGAGCAAATACAAACTATAGGTACAATGTAAAAGTGACTTTGTGTATGAATTTTGCTGCTCTTTTCAAGTTTTGACTTGAAATACTAATGATGGTTGGGGATTCTCTGGTGGTTCAGATGATAAAGAATCTGCAATGCAGGAGACCTGAATTTGATCCCTTGGGTTGGGAAGATCCCCTGGAGAAGAGAATGGCTACCCACTCCAATACTGTTGCCTGGAGAATTCCATGGACAGAGGAGCCTGGTGGGCTACAGTCCATGGGGTCACAAAGAGTCAGACATGACTGAGTGACTAACACATTAGTGATGGTTAAGAAAATACTTATGACTAACTAGGTCACCTACTCAACAAAGGAGAACATTTTTGTTTCTAAGGCAATTATTTCAAAACTATTTTTGAGGGAAATACTAGTTGATTGTGCTTCTTTCAATGGCTTTATAAATTGGATCTCATTCAGATTTTGTTATACATTCATAAAAATCAAACTAAAAGCTAAGTGAATTACTTTAAAATGATAAAAATTTGTAAAAAAAAAAAAATGCTCTGAAAACTGTAAACCAGTCTCAACAGAAGCAAAGAATGGTTTACATAGAAGTTAATGGGAGATCCAAGGGCTCTTGCTCCTGCTTCAGAAGGTTCTTGAAAATCAGAATGCTGAGGAAAGAAGTGAGGTCTCCCTCATTGTCCAAGAGGACTCAGCAGAACCTGGACTTAGAACTCAATCTGGAAGAGTTTCCAGTGGATTCAGACATAAGGCTGAGCTTGCACAAATGCACCAAATGGACGGGATGATCCTTCTCTTTAAGAGGACCTGGGCTATCCTGAGTTAGAAGGGGACTTCAAGCTTATTAATTTCTGCCCTTGGGGCAAGGAATGATGAGACAACCCTGAGCTACCATGCACAAGATACTTGGGAAGCCAGAGCATCTCCTGACAGAACAGAACACTCAGTCCTGGTGGAAAAAGCTGCCACTGGCATGTACTTTAAACTGTCAGTCAGCCTCTAACTGCCCACACCTCCTGCCTAGCCTCTTAGCTCCCCAGTACCCCAGCATTATTTTAATTTTCTCATACCTGACAATAATTGCCTATACCCAGTTAATTTCAGAGCATGCATTCCCAACAGTCAGAGATGAACAAAGTTTTTGTTAAATCACCATTAGAGACCTCGCTGATCTCCATCAGATCATATTCTAGTCCAGAAGCCACACTTGGTGAATTAAGGAGTCACAGAATCCATAGATGAGGAAATCCTGGCATCTCAGGATATTTTTAAAAATCCCCCCAAGAACAAAAGATAGACTATCACTTCAAGGGGGGGAAAAATCAACGTTGACTCAGCCACACTAACATACTTTAGAATCATAGCCAACTTTTCTCCGTGCTCTTAATCTTAATAATGAACAACTGCATTTATCATATTTTCATTTATTGCTACACAAGTGCTATGCACAGGATTGGTGAAAACAAAACCTGCTCTTTCTGTACAAAGTAGATAAGTAGATAGAATACTGAGAAATGACTAAATTTGGAGGAACACAAATGGAGCAGAAACCATTTTAAGTTTCAGGGTGAGTTATGTTTTATTTCTAAGACACACAGAACACAAGTCTGGCTTGCACTTAAGTTTTATCTTGCAATTAACACTGGGGCTTTTTCACATATGAAAAGACCATTGAAAATGGAAAGGTTAACAGCTTCCCCTGGAATATTCAAAAAACTATTTCAAAATTCCCCACTTGAGCTTGGGCCTTGGACCTGTTTCATATATTTTATATGGTTGGATAGTCCTTTAGTTGGAATGTCTGCTTTGAAACTCATAAATATTTAAGTCATTGTCTCCTGTGTTCCTACAATGGGTACTGACATTTCCTGGAAACCTTTCTGAAAGAGAAGGCAAAAGGGCATCTGACATAGCCCACTGTAACCTAAAAGAAGTGGAAGAACACATCATGCTTGAGATCTGGCTTTGGATCAAGCCATAGATCCTTCATGCAGCTAAAGTCATCCCAGGATTGACCTTAGCTACTACTCCATCAGTTGTTTTTGCAGGCAACAGAAAAATAAATTACTTACTGAGATAGAGCTTGTGACTGACTCCCAGTTGGTCTCTGAGGCTGCTGCAGGTTGGAAATCTTCCTAGAAGGCAAAGAAACATTCATGCGAGTCAGGCAAACCCCTGTTCAACTCATTACATGCACAGTTTCATCTCAGCCATCTGAATCTGCTTCCAACTATGTGACAACGGGAATTCAGGCTACACGCCTGCTGAGCAGATCACCATCTGCCTTAAGCACCTCTCCTCAAGAGCCCTTGTCATTCAAGACATGGACAATTGCATTCACATATTCTTATAAACACTTGTGAAATGAAAAAAAATGTGAGGACACGAGTTCAAATTTTAACTCAGTCATCCATTGGCCACGTGGCCTCTCCTCTCTAATCCTTCTCTTCCTCTCTGCAAAAGGAATGTGCTTTTACATTGTGACATGCCATGCTACGCTCAGTCATGCCTGACTCTTTGTGATCCTGCGGACTGTAATCCACCAGGCTCCTCTGTCCATGGGGCTTCTCCAGGCAGGAATACTAGAGTGGGCTGACATTTCCTTCTCCAGGGGACCTTCCCAACCCAGGGATCAAACCCACATCTCCTGCACTGGCAGATGGATTCTTTACCACTGAGCCTCCTGGGAAGCCCTGTAAAAGGCTGACGTAGGATGCTTAAATTACAGGGCCATGTTGAGGATTGACTGCATTAATTATGTAATTACAACTAGAACCTAATCAAGATTAATAATAATTATTATCAGTGTTAGTGTTTACTTGGTTTGAACTAAGTTCTGTATTTTGTTCATTTCTGTCAAGCTAGTCTATGATAATCTGTGACCTTTTAAAGATAAATTAACTGACAAAATGCTATTCCTGACTCTATCAAGAAATGTCAGGAAGACTGGCAGGAAGAAGGAAATGGCTGTGGGAGTGACAAAGCACTACCCACTCAAGGAAAGAAAGTGAGGAGCAGACTCAAAGTCTTAAAGGAATGGTGACCTCAGAGAAAGAAACTTCTCTTATAAGGCAAAGTTCTTTCTGATTTGTCTGTTAATTATTCCAGTACCTGTAAGTTTCAAAAACATAATGGGAAGGAAAGCTGACTCTATCATTTTCACAAGTCACACATGATTTCTTGACACTGCTAAAATAAATCACTTTGGTTAATTTCTTCTAGCCTGATCAGGGAGTAGGAGGTATTTTAAGACGACACTGAGAAAAATTCAGCCACTCAAATTTGACAGCTTATTCACCCAAGTATATGCTTACTGAATGAGAGCTAAGAATCATGTCTAAATTCCATTAACATTTTGAAGAGCTAGAAGTGTATTTGCTAACTGCTGATGATAAAATTGGTTTATATATAAGTGTCTACATAGAAGAAACTTTAGTTATTTTCCAGAAGGAACTAAGGCAAATGTGGGGTTCAGGAATGAACATCTATTAAAAACTGGCTGGGCATCATTATTTTAATCTCAATCTCAAGGAAGAGAGGAAAAAGAAAAATCTCTGCACTCTGCAAGACAGAATGTACATGGAAAGAACACTGATATATCATGGAAGGATGGGTGCAAACAATTGAAGGTAAACATTTATATGAGTCTTCATAAACTGGTAAACAAGTCAAAATAAGTGAGAAAGCCAATGGCTTCTCCCTGTCTTGGAGATGCAATTAGTGTGAGAATATATTTCAGATTTAAAAATGGGACATGAGTAATTTTCAGATCAGAGAATTTTCATTTTTACTCATTCATGATATATTTGTTAATAATCTAATATGATATATTCTAAGCTGAGCATAGAATCACAAGGAAATAAGAATCTATAATTCCTCTCAAGGAGTTCAAAATGTAGACAAATAAACAGATGAACAAACCCAGGCAGGTGCTCTGATAACTCAAGATACCACAGGCTGTAAGAAATTCTTCTTGCCTAAGAAGTGGGCTTAGAAAAATTTTGCATAAGAAGGTAACTTGACCTGAGTGTTATAGACTCAGGTAAGTAGACAAGTAAGCAGATGGCTATTAGCTAGAATGGTATAGTAGAAGACAATTAAAGAGAGAGCAACCTATGATTGCTCTCTATATTCTCACAATATGCTCATATATGCTCACATATTGCTCACAATATGAAGAGAGTATACAGGAAAAGGAGCGAGTTGATGGGGAAAGTTAATGAATCAGTCATGTTGGACATAAAGTATTTGTAGCACTGATATAACATCCAGACATGTTCAGGAAGCCATTTGTTATATGAGAATCAACCTCATGAGAGAATCCTGAACTTGAGATATAAAACTGGGAAATTATCAGCATAAAAATGGCTGACACATATAGCATTGTGTAATTAACTAAATAAGTAATGGATTGTGTCAACGGCATAGGAAAATCAGAAGAGGAACCGTCTTAAAATTTTGGAAGTGGAAAGAACTCTTAGGATTATCTAAAATGCTAAAAGGATATGAAGGATAATCTCTTTATTTTAATTACAGTATTAGAAGACCAATTCTCAGAGAGACAGTGTGCTCTATATTATACAGGCATCTTCTGGGAATGATTGGACCATCAGAGCCCATTCCTCAGTAAAAAAGTGTGTGGTGATTTTTCACATCATTGCAGCTAGCATGGGTAATTGTATGCCTGGGGGAAGAAAATGGAACAGGGTCCAAAAGGAAAGTCTTCTATTGTAGGTTCTATATAGTGGCTCTAGTGGTGAAGAATCTGCCTGCCAATACAGGAGACACAGGAGATGTGGGCTCAACCCCTGGGCCAGGAAGATCCCCTGGAGTAGGAAATGGCAACCTACTCCAGTATTCCTGCCTGGAAAATTCTAAGGGCAGAGGAACCTGGTGAGCTACAGTCCATGGGGCCACAAAGAGTTAGACATGACCGAACACACACACACACACACACACACACACACACACACACACACAGATTCTATAAGTAGAGTAAGATAGGAATCTAATTTCATTCTTTTGCATTTAAATATCTAGTTTTCGCAGCACCATTTATTGAAGACTATCTTCTTCACTATTTGGGCTTCGGAATTCCAGTCAGAAATTTTAAGAGGAACAAATGATAAAGGGCTTCATTAAGACCTATATAAAATATATTAATAAATTTATCTTCTCTTAGCAATGTGAATATTAGACATTTAAGAGAAACCAACTTTCTTTTACGTTATTTCAAAAGTTTGCCATTATTTATAAATGGCATTTGGGAGAATGGACACACGTGTGCGTACGGCTGAGTCCCTTTGCGACCCCGTGGACTGTAGCCCACCAGGCTCCTCTGTCCATGGGGATTCTCCAGGCAAGAATGATGGAGTGGGTTGCCATGCCCTCCTCCAGGGGATATTCCAATCCAGGGATCGAACCCAGGTCTTCCACATTGCAGGCAGATTCTTTACCATCTGAGCCACCAGGGAAGCCCAGTTAATGTCTATACCCCAATACAAAATGCTTTTGGTATTAAAATAAAATAAGAAGGATGACATTTAAAATGAGCTTATAAAACGGAATGACATTCATTACAAAAATAAAATACAGAACCTCCAAATTGTCCCCTGAAAAGAGAATCTCAGCATGGGAAAGAAATAGCGATTTTACTTTCTAAATCTATACTCCTAGGACAATTCTCATATCTTCCACCATAATCTCCCAAATCCAAGATACCAGTAAATCTCATGCTTCTTCCTTCCTCCTTATAGTCTGCATTACATAAGGCAGCTGGAATTATCTTTTTTTTCAGCTTTTTGAGAAATAGTTGACATAAAATGCTGTATAAGTTTAGGGTATATAATGTGATAATTTGATATGTATATATGTGAAATAATTACCACAGTAAGGTTAACACATCCATCATTCACATAGTTACAAGTGTGTGTCTGTGTGAAAGAGAATGTGTGGTGCGAATATTTAAGATATTCTCTTAGCAACTTTCAAGTACATAATACAGCAGTCAGCAGGCTGTGTACTAGATCCTCAGAACTTACTAATCTTATTACTAGAAGTGTGTTATCCATATCTCACAGTTTCCCCAACCCTTCTGCCCCCAGCAACCACCATTCTACTTTGTTTCTGTATGAGTTTTGTTTTGTTTCCTAAATGATTCCACATATAAGTGAGATCATATAGTTTTTGTCTTTTTCTTGTCTGATTACTTAGTTCACACAGGATAATGATCTTAACGTTCATCCATATTGTCAGAATGCAGGATTTCCTTCTTTATTCTGTTTGAATAAATATGTATAAATACAATGTAAAATATATATGATATATATTACAAACATATAATATATAATTTGGATATATATCATATTTTCTTTATCCATTCATCTATCAGTGGACACTTATATTGCTTTCATATCTTGGCTATTGTGAATAATGCAGTGAATGTGGGAATGCAGATATTTCTTCAATATAGAGATTTCATTTCCTTTGGATGTATATCCAGAAGTGGGATTCCTAGATCATATGGTAGTTCTATTTTTAATTTTCCATACTGTTTTCCATACTGGCTGCACCAGTTTACATTCCCATCAAAAGTGCATTAGGGCTTTCTTTTTTCCACATTCTCAGTGACAGTTGTTACCTTTTGTCTTTTTAATAATAGCCATCCTATCAGGTGGTAGGCGATATCTCACCATGGTTTTGATTTGCATTTCTCTGATGACTGGTAATAATAAGCATCTTTTCATGTACCCATTGACCATTTACATGCCTTTGGAAAAAAGTTTACTCAGGTCCCATTCTCATTTTAAATCAGATTATTTGATTATTATTCTTTTTCTTTTCTTTTTTGCTTTTGAGTGGTATGAGTTATTTGTATATTTTTTATATTAACTGCTTATTGGACATAGTTAGGCAAATATTTTCTCCTATTCTCCAGGCTGCCTTTTCATTCTGTTCGCTCTTTCTTTTGCTGGGTAGAATCTTTTTATTTTAATACAGTCTAATTGCTTATTTTTTATAATGCCTTTGTTTTTGGTGTCGTATTAAAAAAATCACTACTAACCAATGTCAGGAGCATTTTTCCCTGTTTTCTTCTAGAAGTTTTATGGTTTCAGATCTTAGCTTTAAGTATTTA